TAGTAATAGTAGTAGTAGTAGTAGTCGTAGTCGTAGTAGTAGTAGTCGTAGTAGTAGTCGTAGTAGCAGTAGTCGTAGTAGTCTTAGTAGTCGTAGTGGACGTAGTAGTAGTATAAGTAGTAGCAACAATAATAGCAATAGCCGTAATAGTAGTAGTAGTCGTAGTAGTAGCAGTCGTAGTAGTAGGTAGTAGTAGTAGTAATAGTAGTAGTAGTAGTCGTAGTAGTCGTAGTAGTCGGAGTAGTCGTAGTAGCCGTAGTAGTAGTAGTAGTAGTAGTAGTAGTAGTAGTAGTAGTGGTGGTAGTCGTAGTAGTAGTCGTAGTAGTAGTCGTAGTAGTAGTAGCAGTGGTAGTCGTAGTCGTAGTCGTCGCAGTAGCAGTAGTAGTAGAAGTAGCAGTGGTAGTCGTAGTAGCAGTAGCAGTCGTAGTCGTAGTAGTAGTAGTAGTAGTTGTTGGTGTAGTAGTCGTATTCGTAGTAGTAGTAGTAGTAGTAGTCGTAGTAGTAGTCGTCGTAGTAGTAATAGTAGTCGTAGTCGTGGTAGTAATAGTAGTAGTAGTAGTAGTAGTAGTAGTCGTAGTAGTAGTAGTCGCAGCAGTAGAAGTAGTAGCAGTAGTCGTAGTAGTAGTAGCAGTAGTAGTAGTAGTAGTAATAGTAGTAGTAGTCGTAGTCGTCGCCGTAGTAGTAGTAGTAGAAATAGAAATAGTAGTAGTCGTAGTAGTAGTAGTAGTAGTAGTAGTAGTCGTAGTAGTCGCAGTAGTAGTCATATTCGTAGTAGTAGTAGTAGTCGTAGTCGTATTCGTAGTGGTAGTAGTAGTCGTAGTAGTCGTAGTAGTAGTAGTAGTAGTAGTAGTAGTAGTTTTCGTAGTAGCAGTAGTAGTCGTAGTGGTAGTAGTAGTAGTAGTAGTAGTCGTAGTAGTAGTAGTCGTCGTAGTAGTAGTAGCAGTAGTAGTAGTAGTAGTAGTAGTAGTAGTAAAAGCAGTAGCAGTAGCAGTAGCAGTAGTAGTAGTAGTAGTAGTAGTCGTAGGTCTAGGTCGTAGTAGTCGTAGTAGTCGTAGTAGTAGTAGTAGTAGTAGTAGTAGTAGTAGTAGTAGTAGTAGTAGTAGTAGTCTTAGTAGTCGTAGTAGAAGCAGAAGTAGTAGCAGTAGTAGTAGTAGTAGTAGCCGTACTAGTAGTAGTAGTAGTAGTCGTAGTAATAGTAGTAGTATTAGTAGTCGCAGTAGTAACAGTCGTAGTAGTAGTAGTAGTAGTAGTAGTAATAATAATAGTAGTAATAGTAGTCGTAGTAGTAGTAGTAGTCGGGGCACTCGTAGTAGTAGTAGTAGTAGTAGTAGTAGTAGTCGTAGTGGTAGTGGTAGTGGTAGTAGTAGTAGTAGTAGTAGTAGTAGTAGTCGTAGTAGTCGTAGTAGTAGTAATCGTAGTCGTAGCATTAGTTAGTAGTAGTAGTTAGTAGTAGTCGTCGTAGTCGTAGTGGTAGCAGTAGTAGTAGTAGTCGTAGTAAGTAGTAACAGTAGCCGCAGTAGTGGTAGTAGTAGTAGTAGTTAGTAGTAGTAGTAGCAGTCGCAGTAGTAGTAGTGGAAACCGTAGTAGTAGTAGTAGCCGTCGTAGTTGTGGCAGTAGTAGTAGTATTAGTATTAGTAGTAGTAGTACTCGTAGTAGTAGTAGTAGTAGCAGTAGTAGTAGTCGCAATAGTCGTAGCAGTAGTAGTAGTAGTAGTCGCAGTAGTAGTAGTGGTAGCCGTAGTATTAGTAGTAGCCGTAGTAGTTGTAGTAGTAGTAATAGTAGCCGTAGTAGTCCTAGTAGTAGTAGTAGTAGTCGTGGTAGTAGTAGTAGGAGCAATGGTAGTAGTAGTAGTAGTAGTAGATGTAGTAGTAGTCATATTCGTAGTAGTAGTCGTAGTAGTCGTAGTCGTAGTAATAGCGGCAGTAGTAGTAGTAGTAGTAGTAGTAGTGGTAGTAGTAGTAGTAATAGTCGTAGTAGTCGTGGTAGTCGTAGTAGCAGTAGTACTCGTAGTAGTAGTTGCAGTAGTCGTAGTAGTCGTCGTAGTCGTAGTCGTAGTAGTACTAGAAGTAGTAGTAGTGATAGAAGTAGTAGTCGTCGTAGCCGTAGTCAAAGTCGTAGTAGTAGTAGTAGTAGTAGTCGTAGTAGTAGTCGCAGTAGTCGTAGTAGTAGTAGTCGTAGTAATAGTAGTAGTCGCAGTAGTAGTAGTCGTAGTAGTAGCAGTAGTAGAAGTAGTAGTAGTAGTAGTAGTAGTAGTAGTAGTAGGTAGTCGTAGTAGTGCGTAGTTAGTATAGTAGTAGTAGGCCGTAGTAGTAGTAGTGCGTAGTAGTAGTAGTCGTAGTAGTAGTAGTCGTAGCAGTAGTAGCCGTCGTAGTAGCATTAGTCGTAAGTAGCAGCAGTTAGTCGTGTAGTAGTAGTAGTAGTAGGTAGCAGTAGTAGTAGTAGTGGGTAGTAGTAGCGGTTAGTCAGCAATAGTTCGTAGTAGGTCGTAGTATAGGTCGTAGTAAGTCGTAGTAGTAGATAGCAGTAGTAGTTAGTTGTAAGTAGTAGTAGTAGTTAGTTAGTAGTAGCGTAGTAGCAGTCTCGAAGTAGTAGTCGTAGTAGTAGAGATGTAATAGTCGTAGTAGTAGTAGTAATAGTAGTAACGAGTGCGTTCCAAGAGAAGCAGTAGGTCGTAGTAGTAGTAGTAGAGTCGTCGTAGTAGTAGTTAGAGAGTAGTAGCCGTAGTAGCAGTAGTAGTAGTAGTAGTCGTAGTAGTAGCAGTCGTAGTAGTAGTAGTAGTAGTAGTAGTAGCCGTCGTAGTAGTAGTAGTAGTAATAGTCGTCGTATTCGTAGTAGTAGTAGTAGTAGTAGTAGTCGTAGCAGCAGTAGTCGTAATAGTAGTAATGGTAGTAATAGTAGTGGTAATAGTCGTAGTAGTAGTAGTAGTCGGTATCATTAGTAGTAGTAGTAGTAGTCGCATTTGTATTCGTAGTAGTAGTAGTAGTTGTAGTAGTATAAAAAGTAGTAGTAGTAGTAGTCGTAGTCATAGTAGTAATAGTAGTAGTGGTAGCAGTAGTAGTAGTAGTAGTCGTAGTAGTAGAAGTAGTAGTAGTTGTAGTAGTCGCAGTAGTAGTAGTAGTAGTAGTAGTAGTAGTAGTAATAGTCGTAGCAGTAGTAGTCGTAGTAGTAGTAGTAATAGTCGTACTAGTAGTAGTAGTAGTAATAGTCGTATAGTAGTAGTAGGAGTAGTAGTCGTAGTAGGTAGTAGTAGTAGTAGTCGATTGAGTAGTAGTAAGTAGTAGTAGTGTCGTATTTCGTAGTAGGAGTAGTAGTAGTCGATAGAGTAGTAGTCGAGTCAGTAGTATAGTCGCAGTAGTAATTAGTAGAGTAGTAGTAGTCGATCGTAGTAGCGTAGTAGTATTACTAGTATAGTAGTAGTCGTTAGTAGTAGTCGTAGTTAGAGTAGTAGTAGTAGTAGTTCGTGAGTAGTCAGTTAGTACGTATTCGTAATCGTAGGTAGTTGTTAGTAGGAGCAGTAGTCGTAGTAGTAGTAGTAGTAGTAGTAGTAGTCGTAGTAGAGAAGTAGTAGTAGTAGTAGTAGTAGTAGTAGTAGTAGTCGCAGTTGTCGTATTCGTAGTAGTAGTAGTAGTAGTAGTAGTAGTAGTAGTAGTAGTAGTAGTAGTGGTAATAGTAGTAGCCGTATTCATAGTAGTAGTGGTAGTAGTCGTAGAAGTTCTAGTCGTAGTAGTAGTAGTAGTCGTAGTAGTAGTAGTAGTATAAGTAGTCGTAGTAGTAGTCGTAGTAGTCGTAGTAGTCGTAGTAGCCGTAGTAGTAGTAGTCGTAGTAGTCGTAGTCGTCGTACTAGTAGTAGTAGTCGTCGTAGTATTATTAGTAGTGATAGTAGTAGTAGTAGTAGTAGCCGTCGTAGTAGTAGTCGTCGTAGTCGTAGTAGTCGTACTAGGAGTAGTCATAATAGTGGTAGTAGTAGTAGTAGTAGTAGTAGTAGTAGTAGTCGTAGTAGTCGTAGTAGTAGTAATAATAGTCGTAGTAGTAGTCGTAGTAGTCGTGGTCGTAGTAGTCGCAGTAGTAGTAGTAGCAGTAGTCGTAGCAGCCGTAGTAATCGTATTCGCAGTCGTAGTAGTAGTAGTAGTAGTAGTAGTAGTAGTAGTAGTCGTAGTAGTCGTAGAAGTAGTAGTCGTCGTACTCGTAGTAGTAGTAGTTGTGTACTCGCAGTAGTCGTAGTAGTAGTAGTAGTAGTAGGAGTAGTAGTAGTAGTAGTAGTAGTCGTAGAGTAGTAGTCGTAGTAGTAGTAGCAGTAGTAATAGTAGTAGTAGTAGTCGTCGTAGTCGCAGTAGTAGTAGTAGTAGTAAGTATAGTAAGTCGTGAGTACTGATCGTCGTGTAAGTAGCCGTAGTAGTGAATTAGTAGTTAGTAGTAGTAGTAGTAGTCGTATAGTCGTGTATGTAGTGTCGGTCGTAGTAGTAGTGAGTAGTAGTGTCGTAGTAGTCGTAGTAGTCGTAGTAGTTCGTCGTCGTAGTAGTAGCAGCAAGTAGTAGTAGTAGTAGTAGTAGTAGTGGTAGTAGTAGTAGTTGTAGTAGTAGTCGCAGCAGTAATATAATAAGTAGTAGTAGTAGTAGTGATAGTAGTATTAGTAGTAGTAAGTAGCAGCAGTAAGTATAGTAGTAAGTAGTAAGAAGGCGCAGCAGCGATTAGTCGTAGTAGTAGTAGTAGCAGTAGTAGTAAGTCGTATTAGTAGTAGTAGGTAGTAGTAGTAGTCGTAGTAGTAGTAGTAGTAGTAGTAGTAGTCGTAGTAGTAGTAGTAGTAGTAGTAGTAGTAGTAGTAGTAGTAGTAGTAGTAGTAAAAGCAGTAGCAGTAGCAGTAGCAGCAGTAGTAGTAGTAGTAGTAGTAGTAGTAGTAGTCGTAGTAGTAATAGTAGTATAGTAGTAAGAATGAGAGCAGGAGGAGAAGGAGGAAGAGGAGCAGGAGTCGGAGGAGGGGACGCCGGAGCGGCCAGCGCAGCCCGCGCGATCTTCAAAGAGTCCTTGAGCCACTTGCTCGGGTCCGTGCCCTGCGCGCCGCCCGGCGGCGGTGCGGGGCCGTCTCTCCTCCTGCCTGCCCGCGAGGAGGCCTCCTCCCCCTCCTCCTGCTTGTCGCCCTGGCCTGCGAGTCGTTGCCCCTCCTGCTCCTCCCGCCTCCTTTTCATTCCTCGTCGTCTTCGTCGAACGCATGTGGCTGTTTTCGCTGCTCTGAGTGCCCTTGATGGCCTCAGCTCGTGCGAGAGATCGAAGCAGACTGACACGCAGCGAGCCTCCAAGCCGCGCGTCCTCATTTTTTTTTTTTCTTTTTCTTATTATGTTTACTATACTAACTATGAATATTAAACATTTTATTCTCAATCATCATACTAATGTTGTTACTACCTCATCCTCTTCATCGTCGTCCTGCTCTGGCCTCCTCGTCCTCCTCCTCCCTCGCCGCCCCGTCTCCTCCTGCTCCCACTTCTACCTGCTCCCAAGCTTTCGGACGGTTCCGGCGGTTTTCGTGTTCGGTGTTGGTTGCCAACTGGTTTTCGGGAGGGAGGGGGAACGGAAGGTATCGCCGATCTTCGATGGGCTCCCAAGGAATGTGGAAGAAGAGGGGTGGAGAAGGACGAGGATCCACAGCTCCGACGTCTAGCCTTCGAAAGAAGCAGAACCGAAAAGCAGCTGGCGTCTCGACTTTTCGCTCGTGGCGCCAGATGTCTGGTTGGAGTAGGACAAAGAGGCCCCTCGTGTGCGGGCGAGGTCCTCGTGTGCGCTTTTTCGTCGGTGCCCCTGGGGGCTTCTGGAGGTATCTGGGAGTCCACCGAACGGGTCCAGGTCGAGCGAACGGATCCGTGAGCAAACGCACACACACACACACACACATCGGGAATCTCCTGACCCGGGTCAACCCAGACTCGGGTCAGCCAGGGCTTGCAGAATCCTGCAAGATCCTGCAAGACCCTGCACCCAAACCCGGGTCAATGCGAAGGATCCTGCAAGATCCTGCAGGATCCTGCACCCAAACCCGGGTCAATGGGAGCCTGGCCCTGCAGGATCCTGCAAGATCTGGCGCTCTGGCTGACCCCCGTTTGCATTGACCCCCGTCTCTTAGGCCCCGAACACACACACACACTCTTTTCTCCGCCGGCGGCGAGGCAGAGGCAGTCCGCTCCATCGTGTGGCTCCTGGGGGCAGCCGAGGCAAACGCGAGCACACCTACAGAAACGCAGCTGGAGCGGCCCCCCAGCCCTGTGCCTCGGCCCCCGGGCGCCCAGGCGAGGCACCGCGCGGCGGCGCTGCTCTCGCCGAGCAGCTCCGAGCCGCGGCGACCAGGCACTGGGCGCCTGGGCAGTCGGCGCGCCTCGTGGACGCGATGGGGCTGCGACTTGGTGGCCCCCAAACCAGGTGGTGAGACACCCGGTGGTGACCCGAAATCCCAAAAACGTAATTTCTAGGTTTGGAGACACAGGGTCACCACCGGGTTTCGTGATTCCCGGGACCACCCGCGTTTGAGACATACCCGAGTTCCAAAACCCGGTGGCGACACCAATTCGCCCCAGACTCACCACCGGGTGTTCTCACCACCACGTTTGGGGACCCCCGAGCGACGCTCGAGAGGCGAGCACGAGCTTGGGGGGCGCCCGGGAAGGGGTGGTCGTCAGCGGTGCCAGGCTCGAGGATCGACCTCTCCAAGGTTCCTCGGGCCACCTGGGAGAGGGCCTCCGGAGGCCTCGAGGGACCCCCGAAGCCTCCGCGGGCTCCGGGCAACTCCGGAGGCCTCCAGGCCCCCCCCTCCTCCCCCTTCACCATCTCCTCCCCTCGGTTTTTCGCCCTTCCCCCCTTTCCCCCTGAGGAGGAGCATGGGAGAGGGGCAGGGGAGGAAGTGTCGGGGGAGGAGGGGAGAGGAGGAGGAGGAGGAGGAGGAGGAGGGGAGGAGGAGGAGGAGGAGGAGGAGGAGGAGGAGGAGGAGGAGGACGACGAGGAGGAGAAGGCGCCCCCCCCCCTCTCTCTCCCGCGCCCGCATTGCACCGACAGGGGAAGGCTGGTCTGCCCGCTCCCTGGAGCCTTGTGCGAGCGGAGCGCCCAGGCCCGGCCTCCTGCATACAGTCATCGGCCTGACCTAAGGAACGACAAATAAGGAACGAAGCCCTGTTTATCCCAAGGAATATGACTACCTACCAGACCACCCCAACCCAACCCGAAGACCCGAATTTCGGGTTGGGGGGGATAAGGGTTCCATATGTGTTTTTTCGATGTTTCCCGACCCCGCCCACTAGAAATCGAGGGTAAATCTGAGCCTTCGGGTTGGGTTGGGGTGGTTTGGTGGGCGGTGACATACAGTCATCGGCCTGACCTAAGGAACGATAAATAAGGAACGAAGCCCTTTTTATCCCAAATATAAACGCATAAGGAACGATAGATAACAAACAACGCACAAGGAACTGTAAATGACGCAATGCAACCCTGAGGAACGGCCGAGCCCCTTCTGAAAAGTAAGTGTTCCTTGTTCAAGCCGCTCACTGTACTGTTTTTTTTGTTTACGCGCATGGCACGCCTTCGGTCTTGCAAGCTGGTGCTCCAGCTGCAGCGCTGCCTCATTTTATCATAATCCGCGCTTCGCCCCCGTCGGGATGGCGCTGTCGCCCCAGCGCGGGCCGCACTTCTGGATCCGGCTCCTTCCTCGTCGTATTGTCGACCCCCTCCTTTCGCCTCCTCCGCCATCGCTTGGACGTCTACTCCCCGTGCATTTTTTTCAGCTTCGCGCGCGTATTTTTTTTCGCAGCGTGAGCAAAAATGCTCCTCGATGGCCCCTCATCAAGTTTGGAATCCTCCAGGCCTCCAGGGTCTGAAGCCTCCTGAGCAGCGTCGCCCCCTCTCCCTCGTCCAGCAAAGGCGGTGGGAGGAGGATTGAAAAGAAGGTGGCGAGCGTTAGGAGGAGGAGGAGGAGGAGGAGGAGGAGGAGGAGGAGGAGGAGGAGGAGGAGAAGGATGACGACGGCATTCCTTAACGAACGCCCCAACGTAGACAAAAAATGCACACGTCCGAGCGATGCCACGGCCTCCTCCGCCCTCCGCACGAGGCGCCCGCGAGGCCCACGCGGGCGGGCATACGGGGCGAGACCTCGGCACGCCCAGCCAGGGCCCCCAGGCGCCCACGAGCGCCTGGGCGGGCACCACGCGACGGCACCGGCGGCATCGACGGCGACGACGACGGCGACGACGACGGCGACGACGACGGCGACGACGTCGACGACGGCGACGACGACGACGACGACGGCGGCGACGACGACGACGACGACGACGACGACGACGACGACGGCCGCCCACCCAGCGCACGAGGCGCCCACGAGGCGCCCACGAGGCGCCCACGAGGCGCCCACGAGGCGCCCAGGGCGAGCACGTGGCGAAACCTCGGCACGCCCGACCAGCACGAGACGCCCACGGGCCGCCCACGTGTCCCCCCCCGAACAGGGCACCAGCCCCAAAGCGGGCACCCCCAACCAACTACCCAATGACAGGGCTGAACCTAAACGGTATTTTTCGTTTTTGTTATGTTTTCGTTTTCCCTCGCTTCTGTCTCGAATCCGCCTTTACCGCAGAACGAAATCGAAACGAAAACGGCCCACGAAATCGCCCAAAACACCGTTTAGGTCCAGCCCTGCCCAACGACCTGAACCCAGGTAAGAACACCTAGGCGCAAGCTCTGCCTGGGAAACATCGCAGCACACTGCTTCTGAGTGGTACCCGTTCAATGTACTGCCTCGCGCGCACTTCCTCACCACCATCTTCATCGCCACCACCAACGTCACCGTCGTCATCAACACCGTCATCACCACCATCATCACCAACGTCACCGTCGTCATCACCACTGTCATCACCATCACAATCACCATCACCATCACCGTCACCATCACCATCGCCATCACCATCATCATCATCACCACCATCATCATCATCACCATCATCATCATCATCATCATCACCATCATCAACATCACCACCACCACCGTCGTTCTGGTCATCGTCATCATCGTCGCACTCGTCCTCATCGCCATCACCATCAGCACTGTCATCCATCATCATCACTGGCATCGTCCCCGCTATCATCGTTATGATCATTCGCCCGATGTGAAACTGCGCTCGCAGCCTCCTGAGCGTTGCGAACACGTTGCGGGTGGGTGGGTGAGATGTGTGCTCGAAAATGTGAGGTGGTCACGCGCTCTGGCGCACATCTATCGGCTAGACGTAAGAGTGCCCCTGGGTAAGAGTGACCTTTGGTGCGCAGCTTTTGGGGGCGCGAGAGAGGCAAACCCAAGGGCGTGACCCACTTATATCGCACCGTGCTCGGCGATCGGGGGGAGCCCGATGAGCCCGCACCAAAGGTCACTCCGGCGAAGGGCCACTCTTACGTGTAGTCGAATCTAACTGTACTCCCAGATTGCACCATATCGGGTGCACCAAATGGATTGCAACACATAACTTGCACAACAAGTATTGCACCACACGACTAGCACCGCGTATACTGCACAACATAGCTTGCGCCGCATACGTTGAACCCACTGCTTGCACAACATAGCTTGCACCACACGGATTGCACCAAATACCAAGCGCATCGAGCACCAACTGATTTGGGTCCCCGCTGGCAACCATCATAATACCACCCACGTCGCAACGCTGTGCAACAATGGCCCAGCCAGACGGCGGCCCCTTTTCAAAACGGGGCGTTCGTTGGACACCTCCTGGGACTTTCCGATCATGCCTCTCCGGGTGCCGCGGCCTTCTCAAAGCGTTCCAGAACGCTCTAAGAGCGTTCTGAAATGATCTGAAATGAGGAGGAGGAGGAGGAGGAGGAGGAGGAGGAGGAGGAGTTGGAATTGGAGTTGGAGTTGGAGTCCCTGGACGTAGTCCTCCCCACAATCACTAACACCTCTTCTGGGCTTTACTCGCTAATTCAGAATTACTGAAGACCTTGGGCCATTGCCCCAGACTAATCAAACGAAGGTATTCTCTCCTCGTCGCAGTGGGGCGGGGGACGCAGACCTTCC